AAAAAAAAAAAAAAAAAAAAAAACATCTGATAAGACTTCCCTAATATTGGTTAGATTTGACTTTCGTGATGCAATAATTGATGGACAAATTGAAAATTTTGAGAAAAAGGGATTTTTTAGCAGTAAGAATTTGAAAAATGAGATCTGACGCATGTTTTCACTTGTAAATTCTCTTGATCTTGATTGGTGGTGCAAACTGCAAAGGAGAACACTTCAAGCCTATAATGTATTTATGTTTGGTTATAGCTAAGGTCATAGCAACATTTGCTGCAATTACAGCCACTTTGAATGAACTCGGTTTTGATGGGTTAGAATTTGACTGATAAATGATTTTGGGAACTCAATTAGTGACTCTTTTTTTTTTTTTCTCATTTTCTGTTTTACTGAGCTTATTATTAAAAAATTACAATGTTTTAGGGATATTGAGGAAAGTGTTGTTAGTTGGGTTTGTGGGGCTTTTAGCTTGGGCTTACCAGGCAACGAGACCTCCGCCGCCAAAGACGTGTGGCTCGACAAATGGGCCCCCAGTTACAGCACCGAGAGTACAGCTTAAGGACGGTAGGCGTATAGCCTATCAAGAAGTTGGTGTACCAAAAGAAACCGCGAAGCATAAGATTGTGTTTATCCATGGGTTTGATTCATGCAGGCACCATGTTTCAGCATTAGCTGCCCGCCTCTCCCCAGTAATGGCGTCTCTTTCTTCTTCTTTTTTGTCTCTCTCTTACAAGATGGTTTGAGCTTTTGGCTTATACTTCTATGAATATGTTAAAACAGAAGAATAGTTTTTCAGATTTCTTATTGTGCTTATGGTTTGAGTGAATACTCCATTTTAAGCACTTCAGTGACTCTGTCAGGTGGCCTTTCTATTGTTAGTCATTTCTTAATGTTTATATATATATATATATATTTGAAATGCTGCAAATTCATTTACAGGATATAGTTGAAAGTAAAGGGATCTACATAGTCTCGTTTGATAGGCCTGGTTACGGAGAGAGTGATCCTCACCCTACACGAACGGTCAAGAGCTTGGCTTTGGATATTGAGGAGCTTGCAGATCAGTTGGGTTTAGGACCCAAATTTTATGTCGTTGGATTTTCCATGGGTGGCCAGGTTGTGTGGAGCTGCCTCAAGTATATTCCTCACAGGTTTGTTTCATTTTGCGTCCCGAATAGATTTGGAAATCAGGATCAATGTGACTGTTTGCTCACTCTTAAACAAATGATTGTTTAACTTTTGGAGAACTTATTTTGTATTTTTCATATATCTGCTTGAAGTTCTGCTTCTGATTTTGCGTAACTTTGATCAAATTATATAACCAGGTCTAGAGTTGGTGTTTTATAAAGCCTTTTGGATTTCTGATTCTTACTTCTAATTCTGACTTTTACTGCCTATCAACACACTCTATTTTCACTTATTGACCTTTAAAAATTCTTGTATGAGGCGGCCTAACCGTTAGGCGGGTCGACCCGCCATACTTTGTTTTAACAAAAATCACTGCTAGTTTATGATTCTCAATTATTTTCAGTTTATGCTACACCAAACCACTTCCGATAAATGTAAAAGCTTTCACAAGCACATCCTGAACAGCTTTTGCTGTTTTTTTTTTTTAATTATTATTATTATTTTCTCTTCGTTTATTTTGAAGCCATAAGTTTCTATTTCCATATTGCAAAGGGCTCACATTGACACCATATTTTTGGACAGATTGGCTGGAGCAGCTCTTGTAGCACCTGTGGTCAATTATTGGTGGCCCGCATTTCCTTCAAACCTTTCTGGACCTGCGTACGTGCTGCAGCCGAAAAAAGACCAGTGGTCTCTTCGTGTAGCTCACTACCTGCCATGGCTTACCTACTGGTGGAACACCCAAAGATTTTTTCCTATTTTGAGTGTTATTGCTGGCGACCCCTTAATGTTTTCCCATCAAGACATGGAATTGCTTCCAAGATCCATTCCCATAATAAAAGCTTATAAGGTATTTTTAGTCATGTTCAAATTGGCTATCATTTGAACTGGAAAGCAAGTGAACCAAAAATAAAAAGATGAACAGAATTGTTCTTTAGTCGGAGAAAAGATTCGATCAATCAGTTATTTATTTTAATTTTTACCATCATTATTAAATGAGCTCCACCAAATGAGTATTAAAGATACCTTTTAACATCTATTTGTCCATGATTGATGGAATTTTTATAGCTTTTAACATCTCATTAGAGCTGAAATCAATCTTATTATTTTTATTTTCTTTCCATGATAATCATACCAGGGGGTGGCAAGACAACAAGGAGAGTTTGAGAGCCTTCATCGTGACCTGATGATTGGTTTCGGAACATGGGAATTTGATCCCACGGATATCGAGAATCCATTTCCGAATGGTGAAGGTTCGGTTCACTTGTGGCAAGGGGATGAAGACCGTCTTGTCCCGGTGGCCCTACAACGTTACATTGCTGACAAGCTGCCTTGGATTCATTATCACGAGCTGCAGGGCGCGGGACATATGTTTCTGCTAGCTGATGGTATATCGGATTCGGTTGTACAAGCACTTGTAGCTTGAAAACGAGAAGGCCTTTTCTTTTGGCTTTGTACCTTGTTTTGGTGTATTGCTACTTATTTTTGGGAAGTTTATTCCCAATGCACAATGCTATTGTACTAGATAATGAGTACATCTTTAAGTGGATAAAGATAGTCAGAATTTTATTTAATTCAAATAATTATATTCTATGTTTATTTTTAAATAACTAGTAGTCTAGTACAGAGTCTGTGAGATGGACGGGATAGACAATTTTAAAGCTATTTATTCAGCTTTATTATTATATTCGTGAATAAAAAAATAATTGAGAAAATTAATATTATATATTATTAAAAGTATTCTTGTTTGCCTTGTAGGCACAACATATATACGTGAATAAAGAATTAAATAATTGAAATAAAAATTAATATTATATATTATGAAAGGTATTTTTGTTTGCCTTGTAGGAACACCGTATATTATAGGCACACCATATATTCGTGAATAAATAATAAATAAATAATTGAAATAAAAATTAATATTATATATTATTGAAAGTTTTCTTGTAGACAATATTTTTTGCTTTTGTAGGAAACCATCTCTGCAAAATAATTAACAGAACATAAGTATATTATTAACTAATTTACCAAAAATTAATTAACAACATTTATATTACAATTAACAAAGCATAAATCTAGTATAAACTAATTTAACAAAAATACCTCCCCATGGTTTTGTTTGGCATGAACAATGAACAAATGTGGATGACGATCACTGCCATATTCATTTCCAATTTCTAAAAGTCGATTAACGAAATCACCCATAATGTGCAATCAATCTGTTTCCTCTTAAATGTTTATTCAAATAAATTATTAAATTGACTTTTAGAGAAACATATAATACTTAAAATAAAAATTGTTATTGTCCATCATTGAGGGAAAACACAATTATTTGTGTCGGACGTCATCAACCTCTTTAATTGCATCGATCCAATTTCAACAATCAGATCAATTGTATCTACAATTATATTGTAAATTAATTATTTTACAAATCATTCTAAATTATCTATTCAAAAAAAAAAAAAATATAAAAAATAAATACATAAGTTAATAATATATTACCAAAGAACACTATTTGATCTTGTCGAAGACCATAAAGGAGAGTAGCAATGCTTCATAAATCACAAAAAAATTAGAAAAGTCTCATTTGAACCTAACCAAGTTGGTCATACCATGTATCACAATTTAAAATTGTGTAATTGTTAATTGGAATGAGTTGTAGTTGTCTCCCACTTGATACTTTTTGAATTACATAGATTTCTCCCTCTTTGACATTGTTCATTCATTTTTTGATATGAACTGTCCTTATGATTTCACTAATACGACATTTCTATAATAATTATTTAGAGAAAATAAATAAGTATATAACGATTTTAATAATACACAAAATTAGAAAAAAATAACAAATTAAAAAAAAAAACGATGAAAAAACAAATTTAAAATAAATTATTTATTCTCACATTCTCATCATGAAACCTCAGCTTTAAATGGCGCAATTAAACTAGGAACAAGATCAGTTGATGACTTGTTTAAAGAAAAAAATAGAGAAAACTAAAATTTATTTAAAGAGTGAGTTTATTATATTGTTGATGATTTCATTATTCTTCAATTTATAATAAACTTGTAAGACTAACAGAAAAAAAAGTATTATCTATGAGTATATTATTTGAATTAATTTACATAATATTAAAAATATAATTATTACACTTATGCTATTATAACATAAATAAGATGTAATATGAACATCTTTATAAATAATTTTATAAATAAACAGCTAATTACAAAACAATGAATTTTACCAAATACTATTTTACAACCCAGTAATATAATCAGCTGATCAAAACCACTAATATATCAGCTGGTCAAAATAATAGAGACAATCCGCTAACCGCTAACGTTGATTTCCAAACATGGCCGTTATCAACATAATTAAATACTATCAATCAAAGATCTTCACATATCATACCAACTTTAATTTAATATTTAAATCTACTCAGATATTTTTAACTACCTATTATTTTCAATCAATATTTCTCCTACTTCCACTAAATAAACTTTATTTAAAATTAACTTACCTTAACTTAATATTGAATCAAAATCAATTTTGATGCCCTTCACTATATCATTTTCTTCCATATATAATGGCCTCTTTAGTAGCATCTCAACTTGACATTGTTGACTTCCAACTACACAAAAAATATACTCACTCCTATTTTTTTTAAATGTCATTCTAGCTTTATCAACTATTTGCTAAATAAATGTCGTTTTGGATCTTTTGTACATATTTTTCCATTATTACCCTCATTTAGCTAATAAATACATTACGTCTTTTCATATTCTCTCTTCACTTTTTCTCAAAACATTCATCTCTATCTTCATTAAATAGGGGTATTATTGACAAAAAAAAAATATTCTTAATTAATGTGCAACTTCTCAAAACGACATCTATTAAAAATACTCACTCCTATTCTTTTTAAATGTCATTTTGGCTTTATCAACTATTAACCAAATAAATATCGTTTTGGATATTTGGTACATGTTTTTTCCATTATTACCCTCATTTAGTCAATAAATATACTACGTCTTTTCATATTCACTCTTCATATTTTTTCAAAACATTTATCTCTATCTTCATTAAATAGGGTTATTATTGACAACAAAGTATTCTTAATTACTGTGTCACTTCTTAAAACGACATTTATTTTGAATATGAGGGAGTAGGAGGTAGTATATGTTTTTGTGCATGAATTTAATTCCTACCTATCACAAACTTTATTTACTTAATAAATTTTGCAAAAAGTCCTTCTCCAATACCAACTTCCCATGTAATTCCTACCTATTTTATTATAATAATTTTCGCAAAATGTCATTCTCCAATACCAACTCCCCATGTCATTATACAATCATTGGCTAACCATAGCGTTCTATTTCAGGCTAATGAGCTAATCTTGACGGAGCCAAGCCGCTTACACCGCTGAGTGTCTTCCAGAGGTATCTGTTTCTGTAATGGCGGCTGGGCCGTCCCGGAAAATATCCGCCGCCTCTGCCAGGGCTCACACCCGCAGACCCAGGGCCAAGACTGCTTCCAAATTCTCAGGTGGGCTCGCCTCCATTTTTCCTCTTTCCCCCTTTAAATCAATTTTATTACAAATCGATCTTCTTGTTTAGATGAAGTGTCTGTTTTTTTTCACATCGGAGTGAAGATTTAATGATGGGATATTGCCGATATCTGAGTATGGTTGTCTTCGGTATAAAGTTGCTGTCTTGATTTGGTTTGTGTGTAGTGAATTGGTGAATTAGTGACTGAACATGCATGAGCTGGTTTTATGTGTTGGTTTCGAATTTGAGGTGATGTCTTTTCTCGTTCTGCTGGAAATAGAAACCATTGATGTCTTTTTGTTTCACTAACTGATCTAAGTGTCGGGGGAACAGTTCAATTCTTGACAGGCAACTGGAGATTTGGGGGGAAAAATGTTGTTGTAGCAGTAAGAGAATGAAAACGAGGTCCGAAGTTTTCGTTTTCGAGTATTCCACTTGATGTGGATTGATGCTAACTGCAAAGGATGGCATTAATATAGAGCCCATCATGTATATTTATGTTGGCTTATTCGAATGCCGTTTCCTGGGTCGGTAAAATTGTTTCGAAACATTTTGTAGGTAAAAGGTGAGATTTTTGAGATCTGCTGGAATGTTGTTGCAATAAGGTCATAGTAAGATTTGCTGCAATTGCAGCACTGTGAATGGACTTAAATATTGGTTTTGATGGGCTTGATAGCATAGGCAGCCATGTATGTGACTCGACTCATTGAGAAATTGAGTACTCAAATGGGAACTGTTCTTTTTTTTTTTTGGTGGGCTAACATATTATGATAAAATTGTTTCAGGGATATTGAAGAAAATATTGGTTGTTGTGTTCGTGGGACTTTTAGCTTGGGCGTACCAGGCAACAAGGCCTCCACCTCCAAAGACGTGTGGCTCAGCAGACGGGCCCCCAGTTACAGCTTCGAGAGTTCAGCTTAGGGATGGTAGATACTTGGCTTATCACGAATTCGGTGTAACAAAGGAAATCGCGAAGCGCAAGATAGTTTTTATCCATGGGTTTCATTCTTGCAGGCACGATGTTTCTACATTAACTGCCTACCTTTCCCCGGTAATGATTCTTATATTTTCTTTGTTGCTTGGGGCTATTTGCAAACAATGAGAAAAAAAAAAAAAAAAAAGTTTTTACTTTTTGCATAGTATACACAATGGATGGATGCCAATTTATTTGTGATTGTACTTATGGTTTGACTTTTATACAAACTCAAATGGAACACTTTGTTTCACACTGACCCTCCTTTTTCTAATGTTTTAATATTTTTTTTTTTTTTACTTTTTATTTTTGTCAACATTTGAAGGATATAGTTGAAAATGAAGGAATCAGCATCATCTCGTTTGATAGGCCTGGTTATGGCGAGAGTGATCCTCATCCAACACGCACGGTCAAGAGCTTGGCTTTGGATATTGAGGAGCTTGCGGATCGGTTGGGTTTAGGATCCAAATTTTATGTTGTCGGGTTTTCCATGGGCGGACAGGTTGTGTGGAGCTGCCTCAAGTATATTCCTCATAGGTTTGTTTCATTTTGCATCAGATAGATAGAGGAATACATTAGTGAGCACTATTTGCTTACTCTTTCAAAAGTGGTCATGTTACTTAATGGAAACTAAATTCTTTATCATTTCCTACGTATTTGCTTCAACTTTTCTTCTTCTGATGATTTTGCATAACTTCATCAATTTCTAATAACCTGACATTAACTGTTATGATGAACAGATTAGCAGGAGCAGCTCTGATTGCGCCAGTTGTCAATTATTGGTGGCCCGCACTTCCTTCAAACCTGTCCGGACCTGCGTACGTGCTGCAGCCGAAACAAGACCAGTGGGCCCTTCGTGTAGCTCACTACCTGCCATGGCTTACTTACTGGTGGAACACCCAAAGATTTTTCCCTGTTTCGAGTGTTATTGCTGGGGACCTGGTAAATTTTTCCGATCAAGACAAGGAACTGCTTCCAAGACTGATTTCCAGAAAAAGAGAATATCAGGTTCTTTAGTTTTTTTTTTTCTTCAAGATCAACTAGTGACATTCAAATTGGCCACCATTTGACGTGCGAAGCAAGTGCGCCCAAAAAATCAAAATAAAAGAACAAAATCGTACTCTAACGAGAGGAAAAGAATCGACTAGTCGATTATTCATTCACAACTCACAACACATCACTTGTATAAACTTTTATTTTTATTTTTTACTTTTCCCTGATTTGTTTTCCTGAATGAGAGCAGGAGGTGCCAACTCAGCAGGGGGTTTTTGAGAGCCTTCATCGTGATACGATGATCGGGTTTGGAAGATGGGAATTTGATCCAACGGATATCGAGAACCCATTCTCGAAAGGCGAGGGTTCGGTTCACTTGTGGCAAGGGGATGATGACCGTCTCGTTCCGGTTTCACTACAACGTTACATTGCTGAAAAGCTGCCATGGATTCATTATCACGAGCTGCCGGGCGCAGGTCATATGTTTCTGTTGGCTGATGGGAGAGCAGATTCGGTTGTAAAAGCGCTTGTAGCTTGAAAGTGCTTATGTTTCGTTTTCTTTTGCTTGTATTTGTATTTGGTACTTTTTCCATCTTCTCGTTTGATGTCTCTTTTCAGAAATTTCGTCCCAATGCTGAATTTTATGAGGTGTGGTGTCTTGTTTGCAGGGAACTTATGCACATAACGTTTTTTTATTTAAGAGTAAACATGCATGAGGGTGGGGATTAGGCTGGACCCTCAACCTGTATATAACTGTATATAAAGAGGCTCTAAATAAGTTAGAAAGTCACAATCTACAGGTGCAATGTCTGGGATACATCAAGTCAACCGAAAAGCAACACCAGGACGAAAATGTAAACAAGAAAATGCTGGCAACAGGTGCCAGTAATACAAAAATAACGTCTCCTGGTCCGGAATGGTCCAGGCAAAAAGTCAGCGTCACTGGAGAGTGAAAGAGCGGATGCACCAAAGGTAGGACCGTCTACACAAATCTGATGCAGAACATTTAAAATTGGAACGTAGCATATTCATGGCTCAAATTAAATATTTATATTTTCAATAAATAAATATCGAATATCTTATCATTTTTCACATCTTATTATCTACAATCAATAACTATACAACATTTTCTCTGTTTCAAAGTATTATATGTTGAAATTAATGCAAAATGTAATTAATTAAGTAAATTGTATTTTATTTTCTAAAATTGTGTAGATTAACAAAAAGAATTAGAATAATATTGGGCACCATCGTTTTCAAAATTTGACTGAATCGGTCGTTCGAACAAAGAATTGTCGACCAACTGGTTCAGTTCGTTGGAATGAACCACCGGTCGTCGACTAGTTCGAACGGTGGATATATGTATAAATTATCATATCAATTTGTTTAGGTATTTGGTCATATTAAATTTCTATGTGTTTAAGGAATGATGATTTTGTATGTGAAATTTATTGCTAGAACTACTGCATATAATATTATTATTTAGTTAAATATTCTTATTTAGTGAAATAACGGTCTAACCGGCTAAAATACTGGTCATATATTGTGAAACATCTATCTATCTATATCTATATCTATACTACTTTAAAAGGAGGAGTGTTTTTGTAAAAATTCATAATGCCTAAAAAACCTTTACTTTACATAAATTTAATGGCAAATTAGTAATACACTAATACACATCATATTTTATTTATATTTTTAATTAAAAAATGAACTACCTAAAAAACCCTTACTTTCACATGTTTTTAATGGCAAATTGGTAATATACTAATGTCATCATATCTTATATCCTCCCTATATATAATTAAAAAAAAACATAACTTTTCTCAATTCAATATAAGCAAATCAATGAAAATAATATATTTTTAAAAATTTTATGAACAAAAGTTGACTCGACAATATTAATGAATTTATGAATTGTAAATATTTAATTAAAATATTAATTGAAAACTTTGATTATATATAATATAATATAGAATATACAAATATTTGATATATAATAAGGTAGATGATCAAAAAAATTTTATACTTTATATTATGTCTTTTTTGACAAATCGACAGTTAAGAACATGTGAAAGAACAAGATAAAGTTTAAAAAAAATATTAAATATAAGAAATAATATGAATAATAACTAAGTTGTGACACGTACGAATAAATATAAACAAAAAAACTAATAAACAAAAATAATATAATTAATATAACTAAATATAAACCATCTAAAAATATACTTATCGATGCAATCGAACTGAGTTGTTAAACGCTTGTTAGTTTTTTGTTCTAATTAATTTTATGTGTAAATTTGAGGTGATAGACAATAGTTATTTGTACATTTATACATGTAGATTAGAAAAAAAAAAATCTTTATTATTCTAATTTTAAATAACTTTTTTATTTACTATATTAGTTTTTTTAATATAATATATAAGTATCATATTAACAGATAAAACAAGAAATATTATAATTATATAATATTTAATATGTAAGAAATGTAACTCAATTGATAAATTAATAGGTAATCTTGGGAATAATGAGTGATTTCTGAAAAAAAAAATTATATGGACTAAAAAGTTCACGTATTTAATATATTTTTAATTGAAAAATTGTAAACACAATTATTCAATAAATACTACATAAAAAAATATAAGAAATCTTATATCCTCCCAATATATAATTAAAAAACATAACTTTTTTCAATTCAACATAAGAAAATCAATGAAAATAATATATTTTTAAAAATTTTATGAACAGAAGTTGACTCGACAATATTATTAATGAATTTATGAATTGTAAATATTTAATTAAATTATTAATTAAAAAATTGTAATTAAATATAATATAATATAGGATATACAAATATTTGATATATAATGAGGCAGATGATCGAAAAAATTCTATGCTTTATATTATGTGTTTTTTGACAAATCTACAATTAAGAACATGTGAAAAAACAAGATAAAGTTTTAAAAAAATATTAAATATAAGAAATAATATGAAAAATAACTAAATTGTGACACGTACTAATAAATATAAAACAAACTAATAAACAAAAATAATATAATTAATATAACTAAATATAAACCTTCTAAAAATATACTTATCGATGTAAATTATTCAATAAATACTACATAAAAAAATATAAGAAATCTTATATCCTTCCAATATATAATTAAAAAAACATAACTTTTTTCAATTCAACATAAGCAAATCAATGAAAATAATATATTTATAAAAATTTTATGAACAAAAGTTGACTCGACAATATTATTAATGAATTTATGAATTGTAAATATTTAATTGAATTATTAATTAAAAAATTGTAATTAAATATAATATAATATAAGATATACAAATATTTGATATATAATGAGGCAGATGATCGAAAAAATTCTGTGCTTTATATTATGTGTTTTTTTGACAAATTTACAATTAAGAACATGTGAAAGAACAAGATAAAGTTTTAAAAAAATATTAAATATAAGAAATAATATGAAAAATAACTAAGTTGTGACACGTACTAATAAATATAAAACAAACTAATAAACAAAAGTAATATAATTAATATAACTAAATATATACCTTCTAAAAATATACTTATCGATTTAATCGAACTGAGTTGTTAAACGCTTGTTAGTTTTTTGTTCTTATTAATTTTATGTGTAAATTTGAGGTGATAGACAATAGTTATTTGTACATTTATACATATAGATTAAAAAAAATCTTTATTACTCTAATTTTAAATAACTTTTTTATTTACTATATTAGTTTTCCTAATATAATATATAAGTATCATATTGAACAGATAAACCAATAAATATTTTAATTATTAAATATTTAATATGTAAGAATTGTAACTCAATTGGTAAATTAATAAGTAACCTTGGGATAAAATAATGAGTGATTTATGAAAAAAATTTATAGGAACTAAAGAGTTCACGTGTTTAATATATTTTTAATAGAAAAATTGTAAACACAATTACTCAATAAATACTACATAAAAAATATAAGAAATCTTATATCCTCCCTATATGTAATTAAAAAACATTACTTTTCTCAATTCAACATAAGCAAATCAATGAAAATAATATATTTTTAAAAATTTTATGAACAAAAGTTGACTCGACAATATTATTAATGAATTTATGAATTGTAAATATTTAATTAAAATATTAATTAAAAAATTGTAATTACATATAATATAATATATGATATACAAATATTTGATATATAATGAGGCAGATGATCGAAAAAATTCTATACTTTATATTTTGTCTTTTTTGACAAATCTACAGTTAAGAACATGTGAAAGAACAAGATAAAGGTTTAAAAAAATATTAAATATAAGAAATAATATGAATAATAACTAAGTTGTGACACTTACTAATAAATATAAAACACAACTAATAAACAAAAATAATATAATTAATATAACTAAATATAAACCTTCTAAAAATATACTTATCGATGTAATCGAACTGTGTTGTTAAACGCTTGTTAGTTTTTTTCTCTTATTAATTTTATGTGTAAATTTGAGGTGATAGACAATAGTTATTTGTACATTTATACTTGTAGATTAGAAAAAAAATCTTAATTATTCTAATTTTAAATAACTTTATTATTTACTATATTAGTTTTTTTAATTTTATATATAAGTATCATATTGAACAGATAAAATAAAAAATATTTTAATTATATAATTTTTAATATTTAATATGTAAGAAATGTAACTCAATTGGTAAATTAATAGGTAATCTTGGGATAAAATAATGAGTGATTTCTGAAAAAAAAAATTATAAGAACTAAAAAGTT